GGCAAGAAAGTCCCGGATATAATGATCCACTTCTTGCCGTTGGGAAAGAGAAGCACGACACTCATTGCTGTTTGGGCATGGAAAAACACATTTCGACATATTTTTAATCGTCTCGACCTATGCCATATGGGTGACAAGATAGCGGATAATGCAATAATTCAGAGATCATATCTGACAGCCGCTACGTGTTCCAAGTAGAAAGTTATGCGTCCCAATCGGACAAAAGAGAACTCTATGGAATAGCAGGCAGAATTCTGCACATGACCCAGTTTCGGTTGCATGACAGAATGTCCAAGCCGAGTGGACCAGAGGGCACGGCCTACAAGATTGTAGGCAAAAGTCTAAGCGCATGGCCAGATCTCGTGTCCGGCTTGAATGTATTCTGAAAGCAATTCCTTTTTTCCCCTACTCTCTGCTCGCGTGGCAGAAGCACGATATAGTGATCAATGCCCAGTTTGGCATATTGTCCGATTTTTCCTGATTACCCAGGCGAGAAATCTGCTACAATCTTTGGCAGACCTGCGGTTGTAAATCCTACACATTGGATAGTCCCAGTGATTAAACGGGTCTTTCTCTCAAGCTGGTATAATTCTGCATATGTTGTGGGAGATAACTGAACTGATGAAGGTCCTGTTAATGCAGCCTGCGTTGAGCTCCTCGATGCCCTGGCTTCTTTCCTCTGATGATCAATATAAGTACCTACATACTCACGAGGACAGAGACATTTAGAACTAGCTAGACAGAGGACATCATTTTCACTAACGTTAGACTTACGGTCAACGAATAACCGTTGAAGGGCATAAAGAAGGGATACACGATTGTCCATCCAGTGTCAGTGGTGTACGTATGGCCTGCCCAGAGACACGCACTCCCAGATCATAAGGATGCCCATCGAGTGCAAAGGCTTTGGAAGTTCCAGATACAGCGGGCATCTTCCCGTTGGGGAACCATCAAGCATCATTTTTCTCCCCCTGCGTTCTGCTCTTGCATTCTCGTTCTGCCTTTGTATCTAGCATCAGATGGGATAACAACAAATAACCAATTGTTCAAGTCCTGAAACATTGTTTCTTTGCGTATTTGATGTCATACACCCTCCATTGGTCCTAGTAAATATCCCAGATCGGGGTGCAGTCAGCACCAGAAAGGGTATATTGCAGTGTCGGTGTCAGCTGATGACAGCAATGAAGAAGAATTCCAAGACTTCTTAATCACTAATGCTGTCTATAGCACTCGTGGAAAGAACTTGCTGAAGCATAAAAGTAGCTATGTCAAGAGAAACGCAACCCACTTTATCTAGTCATGCCAACGTCAATACAAGAAGATACCGTACAAGAAATTATAGTGGTAAAGATTAGCGCATTGTAATTGTTCACTTGTCAGTAAATATGACTATGTGCTATATATGACCTCTGTGCGCATAATAAGCCAGTCATTACTACATCATCATCAAGTGTAGTAGCTTTAAATATCTGCTGTGTGACCTTTCTCCAGCTTTTCCAGATTATTTCTGCTGATCTCTCATCACTACCACCATCCTCATCACAATCACCACTCATAACTCATCACTCATCAATCTCACCATCCAAGATGCGGTTCTGGTCCTGGCTTCGGGGAGAGCCCAGATGCGAATACTACTACAAAAAACGTCTTGAGGAGATTAAAGATCGAATTGGCGATGGCACTCCAAAAGATCCCGTTAAGAAATGGATAACCGAGTACAATGATGAGGAAATGCTGGGATTTGCCATTCTACAGCGCCAGCGCCGTCTAGAAAATGAGAAAAAGACGGCGGGGGCGCAACAACAGCAACAGCAATCTCGGCGGCGACGGTGCATGCGGTGCCAGTATCAGAAGGAGATGTGCAGTGCTTGCCATGAAGCGACGCAGGCAGCAGATGTCCCGCCGCCCTACTTGAGCCGATTCCCAGAGGATCTCGAACGAGATCTGGCCAAGCTGCGCGAAGAGCTTTGGAAGAATCGGGCTCGCTTGGAGGCAATAAGCCAAAAGCTCTCGGATAGTAGGAGTTGGTGGGCTTTATATGCTATGGTTCCACGCTGGCGTCGAAACGACGCTGGCCGGACGTTTAAGTGGGTTGAAGGCCGGATGAAGTGTGCTGATCGGGGGGGTTGCTGTGGCCGTACCTGTGGATGCTGCGAGGAGGTTCTGTTGGATTATCAACGGCCAAAGTGGAGGGACTCGGGAAAGGTACACATCAAGGTGCATAGTCATTGCACGGCAGAGTGTGCTTGCTGTATTCAGTTCTGGGGGTGCTATACTCCCCATCCTGCTCTCCCTGCTATGTGTTCCTAGGTAGGCAGGTACTTCCATAGTAGTAATATCGAAGACCCGTTGCTAGATGGTGCTTTCCATTCACGGACAGCACCTTCCTCAATTATAACTTGCTGAACGGCAGACAAAACACCTTCGTAGGCTTCGAATCCCCTCTCTTCTCTCTTCTTCTTCTCGAAATCAGTCGCTCGTTTGACAACGCTCGTTTCACTAGCATTAAAGTCACTCTTTGCGACATCACTTTTATCCACTCGTTCGTTACCCCACGCTCACTTTTATATAGTTTTTTGTCTTTCTTTTTTTAGATAGTTATTATGGCTGAGGCGGTAGATGCCGACGCCGCACTTTCGTTTTGGCAGAAGCTAGACCCCAGCCACGCTTGGTGGCTGTTCCTCGCGTACTTCGTGGTCGTGATTTGCAGCGTCGCTTCCTTTGTGGTGAGGCTCCATCTGGAGCTATCGATCAAGCGCCACCACATAAGGAAGCTACGTGCAATGCCCCTCACAGAGTCGTGACGTGGAATTGGGTAGGTATGAGGAAAAGGAGGATGGGAAGGGAGAGGAGGGAGAAGGGGGAGAGGGGGAGAGGGGGCGGTGGAAGAGGGGGGAGAGGGGGACGGTGAGGGTGGTGAGGACGGGGTGGGAGTTGTTGAGGAGGGGGTATGGGCTGGGAGGAGCTCGAAGGGGAGGAAGAGGAGGATAGGGGAGAGAAGAGGGGGTTTTGGTTGGGTTTACGAGGTGGGTGTGGCGGGAGGGTGGGAGGGTCCTCTCTCTATAGAACCATGCTGGCCGTTTGTCTAGGACTGACCGTTTCACGATGATCCGCATCGACCTTACGAGTTTTCGCCGATGAAACTCAGCGTATACGACATTATCAGACTGTGAGGTGAAAGGGACCCTTTCTTTCTGATATATACTAACTGTTGCTATGGGACATTGTACGTCTTTTGATATCGCCTTGACGAATACGATACGACGAGTTTTATAGAGGCTCAGAGGGGACGTTGGACGTGAGAGAGAGAAAAGAGAGCGAGATGAGTGAGTTGAGTGAGCTGAGTGAGCTGAGTGAGTAGAGATATTTTCTATTGTTAATTTCGTACTAACTTCGTCTTGCAACAGGAACCTCCGAAAGAGTGACTCAGTGTCATTGTCTTTGTGGGCTCAGGATGATGGCTTAAAGAGGAGGGATCAGGGTTGGGCGGAAGAAGGAAAGGTGATCAGGGGAGGTAGAATGATGCGAAAGGGCAAGTGAGATGGAAGGAAGAATGGAGTGAGATGGAGAGAGGGAGGAGAATGAGGAGAAGAGTGGAAGAGGAGAAGAACGTGGTAATGATGTTGAAAGACCCGGGAAGGCAGGGTCTACATTGTGTTTTGTGATGATTTGACGATTTGTATGTACATGCATCCCCTTTGGAGCGCAGAGAACACCTGCACATCAAGGCCACTAGTTAAGGCCAGGTGGTTCTCAATAAGACGGGATTATATGCTACGCATCAGCATGGATTTGAAGGCGCAACCGCCAACCTCGTTTCCAAAATTCTATCCTTTAGATGCGACATTCTCTGCTGGTCTCTCTGTTTTCGGTAGTGCTCTTCTACTCCTCTCCCGCATATCTACTTCATCCCCATAATGAACAACAGATAGTCACAGAACTACAGATGCCAGAGTTCCTCCTTAGTCCCGAAACAACAGACATGATCCGTCAAATCAGGGCCCCCTCGCCCTAGATCTCGAGAGCCGCATTGGTACCTCCCTCGATTGATTGAAGACCTATGATCCTTTGTTAGACCCGCTAGTATCAAAGCCATGGCAAGTAATTGCAGTAACCATCATGCTCAAAGGAGGATTCCTAGAGGTCAAGTCCAAGCCGATTGCTGCAGACAAGGGGAAGAAGACTATAGATTCCGTACATTTGGGTTGAATGTTCTTTTTCTGAACCAGGAAGTCGCCCATGAAAAAAAAAAAAAATAAAATAAAATAAAAAATAAAATACAAGGTCACGAGCTGACAACCGTGGTCTGCTCGTCTCGCTCGTCTGGCGGGATGTTTACTGTACGGTCAATCATAGGGAGGGATGTATGAGCGATTTCCGTGTTGATATGACCTTAAGGATGTGATTTCAATACCTGCTGGCAGTTACCATGGAGTATATAGTACTACATGACTGGTAGGCTTACTTAGTTACCTAAACTATATTGACGTGAATGAAGCAGTTCATAAGGTCTCAACCCTGTGAAATATATTACTAGTCATGTTATGCATTAAGTTATGAGAAATGAACATTCTCGTTTCAGACATGGAGTATCGACTTACAGTAGGGAAGACGTTGAGTCTCATGTATATTATTCGAATATCACCAATTATTTACAATTATATCTAGATATCTTCCGGCTCGGGTGGATCATTTATAGTTACTTCGTACTTTGGAGGAAAAGACACGTCATATGTCAATTTCCTAGCTTGTCTGGAGCACCCAATTCATTAGTAACAGTATTTCTATAGGAACAAGGCTGCATATAATTGATTGACAGGTGATGTATTGTATTGCTCTTAAGCATAAAGCTAATTAATTGCATGGTCTAGATACATGTCACCGAAACCAAATGCCAAGGCGCTGACTGGAAGAACAGACAGGTCTAACATGGATAAGTATGAGAAGATTGTATTGTAGATATATGTCAGGAATGTGAGGGCGAGCGATGCTACACAGCAACACCGGATCTCTCTCTAAATCTTGAATCAAGATAGTAATTGTAAAAGGATAATGTCGTATTGTCACCGAAAGTCGTAACAATTATGTGTAAATAAAAGCCATCCAGGGCCAAGAAGTATCTGTCCTATCTATATCATCAATAGGTGCCTACCGGTGGGACAACGTTCACGGGTTTGCGCTTCGAGAAAAGGTTCCTCAGTCTGCGGAAGACTGTTTTCTCATTGGTGGGCACGTCCTCAGTTCCTCGAGATCTGAGCTTCCGGCTTGTTGCCTTGCTCATTGTCGACCAGGAGGTTTTCAGTCTTGAGGCGTTAGACCCGGGGCGAAGATTGGAAACGTTGTCTGTCGACTCGGTGCAGACTGGGAGGTGCGGCGTGCTGGCATTAGCAATAGTGCCCGTTCTCATCTTGGCCATCACCGCCTGCTGGATGTTCATGTCGCGTTCCGTTTCTTCTGCAGCGGTGAGGACGTGCGCTAGGCCGCTGCTGTCGATGATGATCCCGGGGTGTTGTTTGCTTGCTTCAACAGTGGAGCCCAGGTCCAGCGGATCGGTGTACTCAGGAGGGTGGACGATTGGGGCTTCCGATTCAGCGACTCCACCGTCGTTGTTCGATGATGGTTCCACAGGCTTTCCGAGACCTGGTGTGATATTGCTCGGGACTGAATGGGGTGAATGGAAGCTAGGAACTCCGGTGGACATGAGTGTAGTCTCGGGGTCCAGAAAGACTTCAACATCATCTTCGCTAACAGCGTCTACATGATTGCCATCCCCATCCGGATGAGGTTCGGACTCAGACCCGTCGAGGAAGGCCTTGACTCTCTGACTCCTATCCCTGCTCTCCTTTCCCGGGCCCATTGCTTGGCTACCATAGCCTGCTCGGCTAGGCGGGGCACTCGAGGACTGCGTTCCATCGCTAGCGAGTGCTGAGTGGGAAGATGTCGCTCGTCCCGATTCGAGACTATCGCACTTGAGGTGTTGGCTGGTTTGGGAACGGAGAACCCTCATAGCCTGCATACTGGACTGCTGGGTCAAGACGACCCCGGAATCGTACTTGTCCTTCAGGGCTGCCACTTCGGCTCCCACTTTTGGAAACACATACATGGAGTCAATCTGAGGCGCCGTGGACGGTTCGTGCATCGTCGTATTGGTTGTGACCGCGCGAGAGCGCTTGCTAGGCCCCGACGGCTGGCCTTTCGGGTTCCTGGATACGAGTAATGAACAGGCATTTCTAAGCTGTGCTTCTAGGTCGGTAGGGATTTTCGGTCGGTCGATTAACGGCGATGATGGCTGATAGATGCTAGGGCTATCAACAAATTCCAAGTCACGGGTGGGTTGGTTATGGGCAAGCTGGTTTTGCTGGGTTATCAAAGTTGGTTTCTAGCTTCACATTAGGCGGCGGCCGTGAGGCGATCCGAGGTAATACACACCTGTGACCCGAACAGAAAAGAAAAGGAGGTGCGTCGCTTCGTGCTGAACTCCATCGTGGCTGATGTTTGCAAATATGACGAAACAAGAGGCGTTCGGTCCGGAAAGGGATCAGCTGGATAGACTGCAGGGAAAACTGTGGCGACGCCAGCCAATGTAGGAGAATGCAATGGTGCGTCGACAATCGACTCGTGATTTGGAGAGTAGCGATACAAAGGAAACAAATCCGGTCGCTGGGCTACCAGTCCCAAGGAAACGGACCAAAATCGGCGATACTCAAGATCAGCCCAGATCAATTCCTCAGCCAAAGAATAGCTCGAAGAGGCAGGTGCTCTCCAGGAACTTCTGGGATGGAATGTGGGGAGCGATTCGAGGAATGCTGTCGAGATCAAGGAAAGGAGGGGTGAGGACCGATTTGAAGGTCAGGGGAAGAAAAGCCACCGGAAATTATGAGAGACGAGAGGTGACAAGGTGACTCAGGAGCAATGGACCAGTCCATCTGCTAGGTACACCACCTCCAATATTCATTCGCAAGGAGTAAATATAATGCAACCACGGCGCTGGGGACACAGGCTGTCTCAACGAGGGACCAAAGAATGAAATATCATGGACGAGAAAACCAGAGAGCAAAAGGAATGAGCGTGGTTGGTGCGATGAGGCCGTCAGCCAGGGAAGAGAAAGCAGGAAGGAAAAGAGGAGGCCCTGCAGAAAGCAAGCCTCTGTCACACGGCATCACGGGGCTACTGCAGGCCTGAAAACCTCGCCGTCTGATTGCCTCGTAGCGGCCTCGGACTTAATCTTGCAGTGCACTATTGTCGATGATGCAGCCAGTCCGGCTGCCATTCGCTAGGGGTGAAACCGGCCAAGGAGGGGTAGCAAAGCAGGCCATGCAGTGGTCGATGCGTCTGAGATGATGATGTCCGTACTTTTCCATTTCTAATGGTAGCCAGTGCTGATCAGAGCGTCCAGAGAAGCTGTGGGTTGTTATCCCCATCAGACTCGAGGTCTGAACGAACCAAGTCATCTCCCAATGCGAGGGTATAGAGTCTCACACGAATCAACTGAGTGTGACAGCATGGCTGTTGCACCAAACGGAAGACTTCCCTTGTCCAACGGTTTCGCAAGGGGCCGTTGGAGTGGAAAGAAGGGATGAATCAAGGGGCTGTACGAGGTTTTCGTGGAATGACCGATCGGGTAGCAAGAATGAGATCCATCACATAGGGCAATCCTGGCGGGACTGCAGCAACTTCTGATAGGCAGTTCTCCGCTGCCTTTCCTGCTGGGAAGAGGCGATCGAAACGCCCTACTCTGTACTTAAGTTACCACCACCGTCATACGGCAGCCATGCGGAGACGCTGTCGGACCCTGAATATGATCGATATCATGGCATGAGACGAAATCAGTATCCCGAACTCAAGGATTTCCATGTTGACCCATTCGCCCGTAACTCAAGTCCCAGAAGCTCTGTGACATCTCCACAATGTTGACCCAAAGTATGATACAAAGTAAGTCAGGGTGACATTGCAAAGGCAGCAAACTTTGGTCGTTGATGTGTTCAATTTCCTGGCGTGTTTGCGACGGTGTCACCTTCAAGAGGCAGCGAGTTGGTTTTCATATCAGGCCAGCGTAGTTAGTTCTCTTGTCAATGTTAGCAGCGTTTACATCAATGCTTGCAAGAGCTCAGGCAGCGGAGTTAGGAGATAGTTATTGTATTTGATACTGTATAAGCCCTTGCACATGATGCTATAAAACTTCATTCCAATGATCCATTCGCTGTTGCTGTTGCTATAGAATGACGGTCGCGGGTTGGCTTGACCAATCAACCAGACAGAACGATCATGTGACATCACATCACTTGACTACTACTTACTACTACTACTACTTGTAATCACCCAGGCACTTACATATGTGAGGTTAATCATGCCTCTATCTGTATTCACTGACACTTTTTAGCCTTGACTGCCATGCCTGGCATCTAGCCTCCAATTCTTCAGCAAAATGTCTGCAACAATATACTCGGAAGTTACTGATATTGATGGACTGATTTCTACCGACGCGTACGTCAAATGCCGAAGTATATTGCTCTACCTGATGCTTAAATACTATACTAACAACTGATTACAGACAGCAGCGATGTGGAAAGGATAATCCCCTGGGTATTCAAACATCATGATATCGCTAAAGCGAACTGCACTCGCTTTTGGCCGAAAGAAGAGTCGGAGTTCAAGGACTTCTTCTACCACTTTTCCTGTTACCGTGCTGAATTAAACGAACTCGACCCAGTGCAGATTCCATTATTCTTGAAACAGGACGAAAAAGTCACACTGCCGAGGCAAAATTGGGAAACACCCCGGAGAGCACCACAATTTCTCCAACCCACAGGGTATGATGTTGAAGGTTTTGATGCAGACTATGTATGATAATCTCGAAGACCTCGCGGAGAATCGCCCTGAACTTCAGTAAGCTTTTTTTACATGTGTTTGTATCCTCCGACTTTGTTCTAAGCGCTTCTAAACTAGCTTTCCTGTATCCGGTTTAAAGAAAAGGTATGTGATTGGCGGTAAACGATATGCTTCGAGACCCGAGGGTGCAGTTGTAGTCAAGTCACAAGGACGGTCTGTACCGATAGTCTCTTATGTTGGTGTATGAGTTGATCCTCTGACAGCTTCTTCCCTTTTATATGTATGTTCCCCGCCTTTTGATGGCCACAATCCTAACATCTATGAAGTGGCTGGAAGGGCAGACCTCCCATGACTTTTTAGCCAAAAATATGAGTATCATGCTGGGACAGCTTGCTGCAAATGTCAGCCTAGACCATCAAGACCAAGAAGTATTCATTCTAGGTCTCTATGGGTCTAGTATCTATATTTCACGTGGGCTGTTCACGACCACTCAGATGGCCAAGGTACATTCCAAGGGTAGTTCAGAGAACGAGGTATTCCACTTGAGATTCTCGAGAGGCTATAATTTATCTCTAAGGAAAGACTGGCTTGAAGCCATGCATGCCCTCTCAAGGCTACTTCGATATCTCATGAGTGGGAATGCAAAGGTTGGTACTATCCGAACACATATGAAATCGAAGACAGAATAGAACCATCTTACTATAGCAAATCCGTTGGAAGAATAACAGTAAAGCTTCCCCCCCC